ATTTAAGGGGAAACAAGTCGGTGTGTAAATTGCACATAGGGCCATATCCATTGTTATATCTATATCCAATAATACAAATTGAATAAATTTATCGCGAAGGGATTTAATTACGATCGTGCGAACACTTAATAAACGTTTGCGGGGCAATACAAAATTAACGCCGGGAGAGATCAGTACTCATCAAAATGTAATTAGTCTCATCAACAGATTGATTAAGATTGACCCCATCTGTCGGTGATTCGTCCAAATTTTGTTTTTTTATAATACGCATCGAGTCCATCGTCTGCGAAGTGGGAATTAGGTTTAATACGCACTGTTGGCAAGTTGACCGTGAGATTGCGCTGTACGATAAACTGTTAAAGTGCCAGTTGATGGTTAAAGGTTGATAAAAAAAACTCCGTCATTTTTGTATGAAATGTTACATATTATATTCCTTCTAGTGTACTTACCCTCTAACACCGATGCAACAAATCCTTTAAAAATTCTCAAACCACAAAGATAGTTATGGCTTTCTTTGTAGGCATTACTGTGCAGTAAATCTCCCAACCATTTTTGAATTCCCCAACCGTTTTTCCATGAAAATAAAAAACATAAGACAGGCTTTTAAAAATCTTTCGACACTTCAATGTCTGGAATGGTATATAGAGCCAATTCATTGCTCAAATTTGTGACGTTTTACATTCACCTAAAGCGTAATTAAATTGTTAAAATATTGTTGGGAGAGTTATGGAATCGATCAGATCAGTTTCCCCCAATTTTTATCCTTAATAATGGTCTGTTTTTACTCAAACTTTCAGATTATCTTTAATTGTACATCTAGCATTGAAGTCACTACCTTAGCACCATTTTCTCTCATCTGTACAATGTTACCAAGTCCCTTTAAAGGTAAAGACCAGTTATGGTCATGCGATTGCATTGTGAAAGAAACGTTGTGGAATCGATCAGAAAAGGTTGATCATCTAGCATCTAGCATCTGCAAGGTTCTGGAATCATCAAAATGATAAGAAATTTGGCCCATTCTTCGTAAAGTTACAAGCACTATACACAGAAAGATGTATATGGGACTACCCTATATCTCTCACAGACCATGAGAGAAACAAATTTACCAAATATATGAATTAGTAGGCGGTTTCCCGGCAAATTTTTTATCATCATGTATTAGTCAAAACATATTCTTTCACATGATTGGTAATGAGAGCGTTTCCAATACTGGTCTTTACCTTTAAGGCAGAAAGTTAATCAGTTCAGTATCGCTTTAAGCAGCGTGTGCGTATAGCATACATGCGTGTATAACCCAGTGTATAGTGTTTATTAATTTTCACACTATGTGGACGTGTTCCTTCCCAAATTCTAATCTATCTTTTTCAGTCTACCGCATATTTGATTACAATCAACTACCAAAGTGTTGCAGAAATATACGATTATACGAAACACTCCCATTTAGTAGGAAGAATAGGCCTAAATTAGATCTGATATTCATAATTGATTAAAAGTAGATTCATTTGAAACCTGGTTATACGAATATTTCGTTAAATGATAATTCAATCATTTCAGTACATTATGTATTATGACGATTTAACATAATTACTCAATCTTGCAGGAAAAACAAACACATCGAAAAGCAAAAGCATGAGAGAAATTGAGGGCGAATGCTCTCAATAATACATTGCCAATATGATGTTCAAAACATTGATAGCGCTTAAAAGGATTGGGTTAATTTGTCTCCGATTGTGAAACAAAATCCTTGATTTAGTTCATGCTGCAATGATAATTATTAACCTTGAGGTTAGTCAGGAACTCCATGACTTTTACAAGCCGATCGCCTGTCGGATTATCAAGATATTATCTAGGCCAGGCCTTCTCAACTGGCGGCGCGCGCGCCACTTGTGGCGCTTGCGGTCAGTCGGAGTTTATTGCTCCGAAATATCTACATATATATTTACCTCCATTGTGAATTAGGATTGATATATTTTGGAATAAAGAGGTGTTAAAAATAACACATCTGGGCCTTTAGAAAGCCCTAAAACACATCAGCTTCAGGGGCTCCGCCCCCTGCACCCACCCGTTGTCGGCTCGATCGCTACGCTCCCTCGCAGCAAAATCAAACATATTGGTTTGGCACCCTAACTTAAAATTATATTCGTTTTGGCGCTTCTAATAAATTAGTTGAGAAGGCCTGATCTAGGCCCTAGGATTCGAAATTGAAATCAAATTCTGCGTTTTCGTAACGGTTGTTATAACACTACGGTCTATTGGAGAAGACGAGTATGGTAAAACCGGTCACTCAAAGATTTTTTATTTTTTTGAGGCACTTTTTGATCATTTTGAAGCGCAATTTGTTTAGGGCTTCAATGTTACGCCATATTGCAGACACTCAGTGATAACACGTAGGGCCGTGCATCTCAGATTTAACATTGTTAAACGATGCCTATAAGATAGTTCTTTTTACCATGCGGCCTATCAGTTCTTTCCCATCCTTGTTCCCTTGTTATAGCAACAGCGCAATGGCTACGTGCCTGAATATCAAAGGTTTCAGCTATAATCCATGATAATAAAATTGCTTATGACCTTGGTAGAGACTAGCGTCGTAATTGATTGCTTTTATTCCCGATCACATATTCGCTTTATAGAGCCCAATGAGTTCATCAATATTAGGAGGCTAAAATAATCTGCGGCTGCCCGATTTCGACACCAGTGTTACGAGTGGCGTGTCTGGCTATATGCCACTGCCTCTCTCTCTCTCTCTCTCTCTCCCTCTCTCTCTCTCTCTCTCTCTATCTCGCTCTCTATGTCTGACTGTCTGTCTCTGCCTACTCTGTATCTCTTCTTTCTCTCTCTCTCTCTCTCTCTCTCTCTCACACACACACACACACGCACACCAAAGTGGGAATGTACCAGGCCTACAATAGGTTTGGAGATAAGAAGTTGGGAACACATAGTACTTAGCGAGAGAGAGAGAGAGAGAGAGAGGGAGAAGGAGAATAATTGTTACAAAAAAAGAGAGAAACCAAAATGAAGAGTGGTGAGAGAGAGAGAGTGTGTATGTGTGAGAGCAAGGGAGATGATCATCTGAGAATGATAAAGATCATTTAAAATGTCAATTTTCTTGTTTTCCGCAGTGATTCCTGCCACCAGCATGCGTCTCAACGGGTTAAAAGGCTCATCGAGTCGAGTCTTCCTTGCTATTCTCTACACATCCATCCTCTGGTTCACTCTCGATGTGCTGATCCTCGCAATGTACTCCTCTTTGTCAGAGGACAGCAATGGTTCTACACACAAACTCCCCACAAACGCCGAACCTCAGCGAAATGCGCGCAATGAGGAACCAGCCTACGCGCTGTCGGGGGAAGCCGCACTGGACACTCACCTACGGCACGACATCGTGCGCGATGATTTGAACAAGCCCGCGGAGGCGAACAGAAGATTTGCTGCGCGTGGGGGACGTGGGCGACGGAAACCAAGCAGATTTTCTTGGGGGAACAACCTCGATGATAAACTCTTACATTCCAATAAATCAAAAGAACATCTGCAGCTGAGTAATGAAAAAATAGTTGACGACCTCGTTGACGAGAGGCTCTTAGAAGTCAGAGGCGAGATGAAAAAGGAAATTGAAATGCTGAAGAAAGAGCTGGATAAAGTTCGAGGGAACAACGAGAAAATTGTTTTGCAAGGTCAGGATGATAAATTATCCCGAAATGACATAAAATCCAGTGATACTCGTCCAAGATTAGACCGAGGCAGTATCGATGATGATACGAAGGTACAGAAGAAAAAGGAAGAAGCAGAAAAGGGAGACAATAATGGTGAAAAGAAAAAGAATAGAGTGAGTAAAATCATGTTTAGTCTATAACAACGGGTATTTGGGTTGGCATGTGTAAGTTGTTTAATGTTTTACATGATTATTTCAGTCATACGCAATATCACGACGTCCCCACTGTGAAAGTGTGTAATATTTAAAAACGAAAAAAGTTCAAATTTTAATCTCGAACGAAATAAAAACAAATGTCAAACATGTTTATTTTTAAAATAGCATTCAAATAATTTTAATCGTGCTGGTGAAAGCAAAATCATTCAATAGAAAGATGACTTACAGTTTAATACAAAACATGGTTGATAACAAACAAATATTCCATGATACTTCCTTAATAACTAGTGAACAGTGGAACAACATTAATGATCGAAGGAGGCCGTGATCTATGCATCTATATTAAACTAGAGACATGTTCTGACTGAACAGTAACTTTCAGAAAACCCGTGTATCTTTCATTTTCCTGGAAAACTAAAATAATGATGAGAACTGAACAAAGAATAGGTTATAAGGAAATACACACAAAATGTGGCACCAAACTGTTATTACATACATGTATATCTAATTCATATTTGATAAAGGATATCATATCGGGAGCAATTCAGGTAGTGATTATGCTACAACTATGATATTCATGGGAATGAAAAGAGCACACATGAGCTGGTAAATATTTGTAAATAAACTGTATTATAATGTGAATAGCACTCGAATGGACGTAAATTGCGATTAACACACGCATATAGTTTGCGAGAATCTTCAGTCAATTGAAGGAGGCAGATTTAATCATAAGAAGGAGAAGAAAAAGAAAAAAAAAAAGAGGTTGTTCACCATGACGAGATTGTGCCAATCAACAGGAAAATAATCTATATATAGCAAGAATGTATCAAATCAACCTCAATTAAACTTAACCCGGCATTTTATGGACTAAAGAATTTGATTGAGGGTGGCTTCAAACTTGCAAAATCTCTTTAAAGAAGTGATATTTGAAGCTCACACTTTAAATATTGTGTACCGACATAGATCCACTAACCTGCAGAGCAAATTATCCATTGATGTTTGGTAAACTTCACATATTTTTGACGTTACCTATCACATTTGATAACAATAACGTTCTTTCTTGGCAGGATCCCTCAGCTAAGCACCTGATCCGTGATTTTGATGTCACCTCTCAACCACATAACCCCAATGGCCCGGGAGAACATGGCGCCGGGGTTCGGACCAAACTAGAGGAACAGGCGAAGGTCAAGATCGGCTGGGACCATGCCTACTTCAACGAGTACGTCAGCGACATGATCTCGGTGGAGCGGTCGGTACCCGATGTCAGGCACAACTTGTAAGTCCAAATTTCAAACTAGTAGCATCTTGGAGACGATCGAGAAACTATCCTTGGGCAATTTCAATAGCCTTGTCCATCACTGGCTTATGGAAATGTGCGAACATTACGATGACGTAATCCGTACACGACTGAATGTGGGGAATATAGTTGGGTATTGAAATTGCCCAGGTTGAGTTCGAAATTTCTCAAAAGTCTTTGTAATCGTGATTTCTACTCCTAAATTAACTACAGATGGCAGTACATCACTCAGTACTCGACACAAAACAGATTAAACAATTGACCAATAATATGTATATTATTATAATTAAAATAATAAAACCTAACGTCATGCATACAAAATAATGTTAGGCTATCTATATATATTACAAATATCAATAAATTGAATGACTGGCTTTTGTTGGGCGCCGAGACTAAATATGAATTTATGTTGCTCGACTCGGAGACAATGACAATATAGTTATTTCTATGGCAATATATTTTCAAGTCGTCGTTTATCTACAGTATTGTCTACCGATACTGACATTGCTATAATATAATAAAGATGTTACACGGCGAGGAATATGACAATTACGAATGACTTTGTAAAGTACGAGTGTTTTTGCGTCTTGGATGTGCGATTATAATCGCTTATATTATCTCACCATATAAAAGGCATTGACTTTTAGACAGAGCTGAGCCAATATGACTATAATGTTGTGGATGTGAAGAGGTATCTCAGCCATGGAATTTTGGCACTGGTTTCGTCGACGATCTCCATACACTCAGAAGTGTGGAGTTTGAAGCCGAGATGGAATATGTGGTAAAACAGGTTGGTCTTTGGGAATCTCCTGTGGATGTTCGAAGGAAACATCGGATGCTGCGTGGTGAACTGGAGGCACTGGCTGCCTTTCCTGTATTGATCAATGTAGTCTTTCAGGGTGGGGATATTCTCAAGGAAGTTGAGACCGCCATAGATGCGCCACGATTGCGGTGCGTTGTCTTCTTCGCTGACGAAGATCTCGATGACATACTTACAAGTCTCTTTAATAGTAGGCTCTACTTTGATCGGAGTCTCGACCAAGACCCCGCTTGGTGTGCTTGCAGTCTTGCTACGGAGATCCTGAGAGATGAGAACCTGGAGTTCCGGAAGCTGGTAGAAGGCTGCTTCCTGCTGGAGAAGCCGGTGCTCCTGGAAATCATTGGGAAGGCTGAGGGCGCCCCGGCGTAGATAGTTCAGAACGTGTCGGAACATCTGACCATCGCCGTCTATCATGTAATTTCCTGTAGTAGAAGTTCAAGATGAAAAGCAAAATTGGAATTCTGAATGTGTAGGAATCATTGAGATTCATGGATAGGCAGCACGATCGTATAGATTTTCGAAAAATCAAGTTAGGGCAATTCAATAGCCTTGACCATCACCTATTGATAAGCGTGGACATTATAATGAGGTAATACGTATTCGAAACATACCTTATATTTGATATACATGTTTGAAATTACCTTTTAGTTGAATTTTCAAAAGCCTCAACAATAACTACATGTATTTCAAGGAAACCTAGGCCTGTGCTTTTAACAACAGGAATTCTACCCCGGACAATTAGACCGGACACTATCCCCAGGATAAATACCAACAACTACCAATGATGCCATGAGATCACGTACCCTCTGACAACGACCCCCTGAAACAATTCCCCTGGGTATATCTTAAGAAGTTTAATTTGAGTATGCATACTGTTCTTGTGATGTCATTGAACTCTTCTTGAGGAAAGTTATTTTAAAAAATCATGAAGTTTTTTTTTGTAGTATTTAAAAAAAAAATTGTATTCATTCATTAATGTACATCATACAAATTAAACAAATTATTTCAAATTATAACATATACAGTACACAATATAAAATAAACCCACAACTCAATTATTTTGAATGAAAAATCTTATCGTAATAACCCCCTTCCCCAAATTAAAACAAAAAACAATGACGAATCCTTAAAAAAATTATTTAAAAAAAAAACATTAGTGAGCTCTTGCTAAACATAGTGCGAGTTTCTTCCGATATTCAGTATAATTATTATAAATATTATAATTTTACCTTGGCCATCCTTTGGGGTCGGGACCGATGCTGTGAAGAGTATTCCCAGTAAAGAGTCGGGGTATCGAAACAGTGTGCTGCGACTAGTCATATACACCACACCACCTACGTTTAAACCCACGAACTCCTCCACGGATCTAGGTACGACCTGGACGACGGGGGCTACCGAGACCTGGGGCTGGACGGGGTCACTCCCTACACCCTTCTTTTTCTTCTTCTTCTTCTGATTAAGTTTGATTAAGTCACCTTCTCCCTTATTTGCTGCTCCCCCATCTTCGCTTGTCCGATCTTGATGTTGTCCTCCAGTATCATCCGGCTGTTCCTCTCCCTCTCCTTTATCTGCTGCTCCCCCATCTTCGCTTGTCCGATGTTGTTCCCCAGTGTCCTCCGACTGTCCTCCGATTTTCTCCTGTTCCTCAGGCTCAGGTTTTTTCTCCTGCGTTTCCTCCATGAGTTTAGAATTCTTTTTCTTCTTCCTCCTATTCTTCTTCTTCGGACTAAGTTTAATTAAGTCATCCTCTCCCTTATCTGCTGCTCCCTCATCTTCGCTTATCCAATCTTGATGTTGTTCCCCAGTATCCTCCGACTGTTCCTCGATTTCCTCCGGTTCATCAGGCTCAAGCCTTTCCTCTTGCATTTCCTTCTGCAGTTCCTCCATGAGTTTAAAACCCGGTCTTTCACGATGCTTTTTTGAACGCTTCCCATTAGTTTTCTTAGTGTCCGCTTTGTTTTGTTCATTCCCCATGACAATCAATGACAGTTTGTAATGATTAAGACTGGATGACGGTAGGCGCTACGACGATTCCAAAACGGTCTCTATCTTTCTTGTTTTCCTTCTGCTTTTCCTCCTGTTTTTCCTTTTGCCTTTTCTCGTACTTTTCCTCCTGCTTTTCTAACTGTAGGAGCTGTGGCTGATCCAAAATATAAAGGAATAGCACAAGTAAGAAAAATGATGTTAACATAAATCACACTGTACTGAAATCACTTGTGCTGGGCCTTGTATCATGTCATAGGTTTTGACATTTCAGCACTTGCGGAGACGCGAGCGTGAAACATTGCGACACATGTACAGGGTAACTCAGAACAAACAAGCTGCTATGACGCAATACCTAAAAGCCAGCAATTTGCGTACCCGATGGCAAAATGATAGCCCTACATGACCATTGTGCTACATGGAACCTCATGATCAAAACTATATGAAAGACTGCGCAGTATAATAAACAGTGCGTTAATTCAGTGATGTATCTATACTTAGCTTTATTGTATTTTCTTCCGTTTTTCTTTCCTGTGGACTTTGGATAGACAGAATAAATAGAGAACGCTATCAAAATGATAGTAGCGCATGGTATGTGCAAACATTAAAGAGCAGTTTGACTTCTGGGATAGGTGAATATTTATTTGTGAGATTTTTCAGTCTTTAAAAAATGTTAGTTGAATGAACGGCAAAGAACAAAAATGTCTCCTGAAAAGGGATTTCTCTGGCTTCAAATGCACTAATAGTAATATTCGAAAGCGTGAGAAAAAATAGGCCGACAAGTTTCTGTGAATAGTGCATATGAATTTTAGAAAAACTGTGCCAATTCCTTATCACTTTGATGATTTCAAAATCTTAGGGTATAGATGCTTATATGCGACATGATGTCACGATCAACGTTTCCAAAACGCTTTCAGTCATTTGATTTCACCATGACCAGAACTCAAGTATATTTTTTGAATACACACCCTGTACAAAGTGGGAATTTCCCAGCCTGGAAATCCCCACAGCTGTCATTCCAAGAGTCACCTCTGCATGAATGTCTGGTTACGAGCGATTTTCAGTCTAGACGGACGTGTGTGCGTGTGTGTGTGTATATGTGTGTGAATCTCTCTCTCTCTCTCTCTCTCTCTCTCTTTCAGCTTTCTATCTCTCGCTCCCCGGCTCTTTCTCTCTCTTTCTCTCTCTCTCTCTCTCTCTCTCTCGTCCTCTCTCTTCCTCTCTCATCCCCTCTCATTTCTTACTTCTGCATGCGTTAGTGCCCTTCGAGTTTTTTCCATTTTCTCTCCCCTTTCTCCACTTGACTTTTTTCTTCTTTCCTTCTCTTTATTTCTGTCTCCTTTTATTTTTCTCCCACTCTATGTCTTTATTTCTCTACTTCAATTAATAAGCAATCATTACAAATAATATCAGCCACCTCGATCCGCTTATTTAACAGCGTGCATCCTCTCCCTTTTCACGCATACGTCCTTCATGACTTGTGTATATGTTTTGATTTGATTTGATTTGATTAATTGGTTTCTGCACCTTTTTTCTTTTTTTCATCATACATTTTCATGAACATAATATGGTTCGATACAATATTTTAAGTGTATATAATTTTATACAGATAATAAACGAAATTAAACAAATATATTGAATGCATGATTACGTTGACGTGCCCGCAGCCCTCAACTTAGATACAACAATAAAAAAGAAGAAAAAAGAGTGACTTGCAGAGAAGAAAAGGAAAGGGGAGAGAAGAAGCGTTGGTTATAATACATGTACAATACATCTAACACATCTGCTGATTAAATGCATTTTCATTCATGGATTGATATACACGTGTAAATATCATTTAGAGACAACAGGATAGAAATTATCATTATTTGTAATTATATCATGTTCTCATGTGATAATCATTGTTATTCATTTATCGTTATTATTCTTTCTCTTCTTCTTCTTCTTATTCTTCTCCTCATTCTTCTTCTTTTTATCACATTCTTGTTCTTGTTCCTATCTTCTTATGACGACGATAATGAATAATAATATTATGATTATTGTCATTATCAGTAGTAGTAGTAGTAGTAGTAGTAGTAGTAGTAGTAGCAATATTATGGTTATAATAGAGTGCCCTTGTCTGCGATGTGCCCTTGTCTGAGCATACACGTAACTGCGCGATTCTGATAACATAAAAACACACAACCAACACAACTATATTTCCGCCTTTACATTCATTCAAAAAAACAAATGCAAATAGTGGGAAATGTCTAGCACGTTTTTTTATCCACAAGCCTTGAAATGCTATCTTTCACGTTAAAAAAAAAATCCGGATCTGCCCGTGAAGTGAATGAGTAATTAAGGTACACCCTCCAAAGTTGGAGGGGCAGGCACCAACAAAAAGGGCACTTTCTGGAGAAAAAACAGGGTACCTTCAAAGAGAAACTTCAAGGCGAACATATACCAATTTGTTTACATTGGATATACCAAGACGAAGGAGTATTATGATGACCTCCCACGGACCAGCGTCATCATCTGCTTTACAGGGTTTATACCCCTAACATTGTGATGATATTGTCAGGGATGATATCAATATTTGTCTCTCTCTTTACATGGTCCAAGATACTCCGTAAGCACCATACTTTGTAGTTGGGTGGGATGGTCTTATACATTAATTTGCGAGTGAGCGAAGCGAGCGTGAAAAATGTCAAGGTTTGTGAGGTCGCAATGCGAAACTTTACATCTTATAAAGATGAGTTTTAAGCACAATTTAATCACGAAAGACTGAAAGGCCTTTAATGAGTAAAATAATTATATCATCATCGAATTATCATAGTCATTGATAGAAGTAACAGTGTGCTGGTAGTAGTAGTAGTAGGAGTAGTAGTAGCATCAGCAGAAGAAGAAGCAGAAGTAGTAGTAGTTGTAGTATTTATAGCCAGGCGCGGATCCACGGGGGGGGGGGCCGACGGCCCCGGCCCCCCTGACTTTTTTTTTTTTTTTTTAATTGTTAAAAATAAATATATATATAATATATACACTCCCCCCACCCCCCACTGAGCGAAAAACGGTCTGCGCAATTTTCGACTTCCCGGGAGAATTTTGGTCGGCGCGATTTTCAAATTTTAGCCCCCCCCCCCCCCCCCCCCCCTATCGGCAAATCCTGGATCCGCCACTGGTATTAGCATCCTAGTATAGTAGTTGATGCTATTGTTGTATGTATTGTAATCATTATCATCATCACCACCATCATCATCATTACAGGTGTAAAACGAAGGAGTATTCCGACGACCTCCCACGGACCAGCGTCATCATCTGCTTCACAGAGGAGTCGTGGTCGACCCTCTTAAGAACTGTCCACAGCGTGCTCAACCGATCTCCACCCGAGCTTATCGCCGAAGTCCTCCTGGTCGACGACTTCAGCCAAAGAGGTAAGGCCAATCCAATACAAGAGGTATTTTCCCTTTCAGTTACAAAGCGCTGGACACAGTGCTCCACACGTTTGGACGACTTAAAAAATAACATATCACTTCAATTTTCTCCGTCGTCTAAGACTCCAAGTTTAAAGGTTACGGTTGGCAATTGTGCTCTACATTTAGGTTAAGTTTAGGGTTAGGTAAGGGGTAGGAACAGTGTCGCGTCCTGGGACGACGTTAAGAGTTTGGTTCGTGTAGGAATACTGACGCGGATTTTGTAGTAATGTTTCTCTACTTTTCTCTGACTTCAAACTCATGTACCGCACCTTAAATTCATTTTCCCTATTTTTGTTCTTTTATAAAGCATCTATAGATAATATGCCAACTACACTACACTACCCTACATTCTTAATTGGTTTTAAACATTTCCTGTTTGATATCATCCCTTAGTAATGGCATAACTTAGAACACAAAATAATGTCCCTTTAATTTCTTTTTATTAATTTATTTATTTATCTATTATTAATTTCATTGAGGGGGGGGGTGGGGCTTTGCAGAGAGATAATGTCTTTATTTTTTCGTTTAACAGAAATGTTGTAACACTACCCCCTTTGCACAATCCTGCCTGGACCCCTCCCCTACTCCCAACCCAATGTTTCTTTTGAGGGGGATGTTTTTCCATCACCAGTGTATTAAATCATTGATTTATGTGTATGCTTGCGATCTCACTTCATTATTCTTTCTTTTATGTTGAACGGCTAGACTACCTGAAGGAACCCCTTGATGAGTACATGAAGAAGCTTCCTAAGGTGAAGGTGGTCCGACTACCCAAGCGGGAAGGGCTCATCCGAGCACGACTGATCGGGGCCGAGATGGCTCAGGGGCCCGTACTCACTTTCCTCGATTCGCACGTTGAGTGCAACGTCGGGTGGCTCGAGCCACTGCTGCAGCGGATCCACGACGACCCGACCAACGTCGTCTGCCCAGCCATCGATGCCATCGACGCGACATCGTTCGAGTAAGCGCACCATAGACTCAAAGCACGCCTGATTTGAAGGCCCATTCAGATATGACGCGGTAACTTCCGCAAAAACACCGCTGACTTTGGCATCTAAATGAATGGCAACTGCGTGCTATAAAGGTTTTGCGCGATTTCATCAGGGAGATCCAATTTCCCTGTTTTCACTGAGCTCTGTGTTATTTGATACAGAAATTAGAGGCATATACAAAAATCACCTCGGTTTTTGTCCGCGTCATATCTGAACAAAGCCTTTGGCGGATCGAGAGGGGGAGGAAACTTTAGTCCTTTAGCAAGACATCAATCTTCATATGCCACTGTCAACCCAGGGAGAGTGGGAAAGTCCCTCTTAATAACGTAACTTCTTTCAACGCCTTAAGACAGCTTGTCTTTTGAAGTATTCTCTATAGGTGCCTTGGGGATTCTTCTGTCTTATTATTATCATCATTATTTGTTATCATTGTGTTTATTTGTTTAATATAATCGTTCTTATTATTAGAGTTAGTATTATTATTATTATCATTATTATTATTATTACTTTTATTAGTATTATTAGTAGTAGTAGTATTAGCAGAAGTGGTACAATTATTATGAATATCGTCATGAGCGTCCTTAGAATCATCATCATGAATTTGGAAGCTTAACATTTAAACATTTTGTTGTTATTCGCTATAGGTACGCCGGGTCCGGAGCTACAATCATCGGTGCCTTTAACTGGGAAATGAAGTTTACATGGAATGGAATCCCGGAGTACGAGGCGAGGCGGAGAGATGATGAATCGTGGCCAATCAGGTAGGCATTTAACATGATATGCATTCTCTTTACCCATGGGTATATTAAGAAATACAAACATACACTTTTAACTTAGGATAATCCTCTTCCTGTCCCATCAGGTAAGGGGATCGAATCCCCTGTCGCATCACTAATGACTTTTGGCAAGTCAATCTATATTTGCCACACTCCACCCAGGTGAGGTTAATGGGTACCCTGCAGGAGGAAATTCCTTGAATGCTTGAGCGCCTATTCATGGTATCGGCTAAAGCCGGGATAATAATGTGTTCGCAGGGCCGTCAAGTAGAACAGTTAATGATGATGCAAGCCTGGTTAAAAAATAAATATTAATATTATTATTATTATTATTATTATCAATCAAGTATAATTTAATACTCTATATATCTATCTATCTAGAGAAAATATTGTTCTTCGACTGAGAAGATTTAAAACGAGACTCGACACCGAAAAATAAAAATCCGTTTACAACATAATGCTGTAACAAAGTTTCGGCCGTAGGGCTTCCTCGGGTTATGATGTACCTATCTATCTAACAAGGTATCAAGGTGTCTTTTCCAGCTCGGAGATCGATTGTAGCATTCTTCCACACATATCTGTTATCTCTGCCATTCTAGTACACTCTTGTAGTGCAATTCAACTCCATGTCTAGATGTTCCTTTCTCAACTGGTTGTTGGTCTACCTCTTAATCGTTTCAGATCGCCAGCGATGGCCGGAGGACTGTTCTCAATTGACAAGGATTTCTTCTACCGTATTGGCACCTACGACCCCGGCTTCGATATCTGGGGTGCTGAAAACCTGGAACTCTCCTTTAAGGTGTGTGACGTAATTTGTTACGTAATAATGAGGAAACAGCGCTCTTGCTCGACTGAAATATACATTTCCATAATTACTTCTTCAGTGACAACCTTTATAAAAAATCTAATTTTCATTTACGTCACAAAATGTTAGGTAAGTTTTCTGCAAAAAAAATAAGATCAAATGAACAAAATGGTATGGTAAACTTCAACTGATATCTAGGATGCTGAAAACGTTTACTCCCCTCCAAAGTACGTCAAGTAATTCGTATCGTAATATGGAAGTTTTACTGGTATTACCGTTGCTACTAGATAAACAAAAAAAATCACGTTTTCATATTCCCTGCCACAATGTGATATCTAGCACAGCAAATATTATTACAACATAGCACTCATTTACGCACAAGCCTATGTTTTCATCAAATGAAAGAAAAATCAGATGAACGACAATCATATTATACCGGAGTGTTGGCTCAGTCAGTAGAGCGTCCGCCTCACAGCCGGGAGGTCGTGGGTTCGAACCCCGGCCGCGTCATACCAAAAGACGTTAAAAGATGGGAGTTGCTGCTACCTTGTTTGGCGTTCAATTCAATAATAAGGGATAGAGCAACGTCGATCTGGCGCTGCTCAGTGGCTACCGGGCTCACGATCAATTGGGCAAAAAGAATTTCCGTTTCGGTTTAACTTAATAAAGTTTGGAGTGGACTTTAAAAGATTATTATTATTATTATTGGTCTATTATGGTATTTGTATTCTGATATAAGAAATTCACCACCATGTTCCGAGACATCCTAATAACAAAACGCCAATTTTTTCACCCTTTAAATTGTTGTTAGCGAATAGAACTGTAAAAGGAATGGGACGGATGACGGGAGGAAAATCAAGATTAAAGATAATAAATACCCAAATAAACCCTCTCTTTTATTCCAGATCTGGATGTGTGGGGGCTCACTAGAAATCATCCCCTGTTCTCGAGTGGCGCATATATTCAGGAAACAACAGCCCTATAAATTCCCAGATGGAAATGTAAAGTAAGTAACCCATTCTTGATCACAACATCTTGAAATTATCATTTTTTGTTATTTGGCATATTAGGCCAGTTTCTCTCAAAAGAATGGAATGAATCGCTCCCATTCATTAAAAAAAAATGTATTGTCCTTTTCACTTTTACGCGCATACGATATACGGTGGTTGCTTGTAAGGCTGCGTTCATGCTTAAATTTTGAAGGCAGAATGAGCGATCTGAAACGCTCATCGTAAACGCTCACCGTGATCGCAGTTCCACGATGTAGTGTTCATGCTTACTTCTCTGGCTCCCCCAGGCAATTCTCAGTGTGTGGCCTTAATTGGTCTTCCAGCTGGATTCGCAAACCTTCACTGTGCATGCTACGTAGACCCACTAGAGGTCAGTGCGTTGACCCCATTTAAACGCGTTTACAAATTGTAAACGCATCTTTTTGTGAGTTTACGATCGGCGATCGTGATCGCCGTTTTTCGGTGATTCTACAAAAGTGAGCTAAGACGCAACCGTGTTTTAAACTAAACGCGTAACAGATGCCTGATTCTGGCCGTCAAAATCAAGCATGAACGCGCCCTAAGTCTACAGTAAAAAGTTACGATTCTTAAAACGCCTATAGTCTCCAAAACGCAATCTTGAGAATCACGATGCTTTTATTGTTTGAGTTGCGTTCAATCGCAAATCTTGATGTATAAGGGCCCTAATTTATTTCATAACTGGTTGCCTTTCGCAACCCAGATGAAATCTTTGAGTCAGCCAACATAATCATAGTCAGGGTCTCAATCGTACATATCCATGGTAGTATGTTTTTATATGAACCTAGGTTATATTCTATAATTAGCATCTAGCTGGAATGCTCCAGCGAGGGGAGAATGTACAATTAATATCATGATATTGTAGAGGGTGTCATAGTCCAGTAGATACGATCCCAGACTGGTTCGCAGTTCGAGTCCTGCCCTTACACAAATGTCATCTGGCATGTCACTAACCTTCATTTACCACTCTCCAACCAGGTGTAGAAAATGGATACCTGGTAGGAATTTGTTCCTTGAATTATTGTAGCAACATAGGGCAGCTGGGCTTAAGCCAGGGTAAAAATAGTACTTCGTATAAGGCGCTTTGGGAACAGATGCGCACAGTATAAATAATTGTTATTGAACCTACAACAATCACAATTTTATTATTGATACTGTCTCCCTTTTTGAATGTCAGAACCTTCATGCGGAACACCATGCGTCTGGTGGCCGTGTGGGTGGATGAGCCGTACAGGGATATCTTCTACTCCCTCAAGCCCCAGCTGATGGGGCAGGAGTACGGTGATGTGTCCGATAGGATCAAGCTACGTGAAGAGCTGAAGTGTCATGACTTCCAGTGGTACCTAGACAACGTCTACCCCGCCCTCAAGGTCCCAGATACAAAAGTCAGAGCAAGGGGAGATGTAAGTAGCCTCCTGATTTTTATTTTTGTTTAATTATGTAATAAATATAACACGATTGCAAAGACTATATCAAGTTTGTAATAAGGCTTACAAAGATCCATTCATGTATGATCATCATCATCTAGTGCCGTCCCTTCGGAAATGGTTGGCGGCTATGCACATCCATCGCTTTCTGTCATGTACCCTTATTCTAACCTCTCCGTGGTAAAGACCAGTCCATTTCTTGACATCATCAATCCAAGTGGTTCGCTGTCTACCCCTTTCTCGTTTACCCGTTTATGTATGATACATACATGTATGACATTTTGAAATCAATTAAAATTGAGTATACATGATTTTTGTATGATGATGAACATCTACATGTGTATATTAAATCAAGTCAAAGACTTTCAACAACAAGAAACCATGACACGTATTGAAACGTGAGAAAGTTAGATTAGCATCTTAGTAATCTGAACATGACTTCTACACCACAGGGTAAACTTAATAATAATAATAATAATAATACCTCTATATAGCGCAGCTTTTATATAAAAATATATTCCGCTGCGCTGGTTCATAGCTCTTTTTCTACTAAATTCTAAAAAATAGAATGTCTCAATTGAACAAATATGTTTTAAATTTGCAATTGAAGACATTGAGAGATGGAGATGACTTGATTATTCAAACTCTTGGCTATCGTGATATGTATGTTTGTATTGTTATGGCAACGCTATCACAAGCCTCCTGCTTTCAGGGAATTTCGAAAATTATTTTCTCCGTGTATGTAGATGTAATTTAATTTTGTATTCATTTGATTAGAAGAAGAAAATCTGAATCTGAATCTTCATTTAAAGGTCGGGAATGGTGGATGCACTAATGACGAAGTGCCCTTTTAGGCCTATTTCATTTTAAACTAAATTCTAAATTTCTAGTCTTTTTTCTTTTTTTAGGTCAGGAATGCTGCCACCTCGATGTGCCTTGATTCGATGGGAAAGGGTGTTCTGGGAATGTTCCCATGCCATGGAGAGGGAAATAACCAGGTAAGTTCTTGAAAATAACTACAAACATTGATTGCTTTGTTTGGTGATGTAAGACATTCTGTGACTGTTCTTATGCCATGGAGAGGGAAATAACCGTGTAAGATAATGAACAATAAAAATAAAGTCAAAATGCGGTTGGCTGGGGAAACCGAACAGAAATGCCCGAATTCACAAAGCAAGGTTTGAGCTCAGACCAAGGTTTACGTACGTCATATGACGCGTTTTAGACCTTGGTTCAGACCTTGGTCTGAAATGCATTTCACAAAGCCGGTTTGTCCTCAGACCAAGGTTTATGTACGTCATATGACGCGTTTCAGGTTTGAGTTCAGACCTTGGTCTGAAATTACATTTCACAAAGCAAGGTTTGTCCTCAGACCAGGTTTATGTACGTCATCAGACCCGAAATTTACAGACTGCTCAGATAGGAGGTTTGTAATTTCTCAAACCTGGTTTGAGAGCTATCAACCAATCAGGATGCAGCACTGGGTGGAGATAATTTATGCTCGATTGATTTTATCCAAATAATTCACCGCCTAAACAATCTGCGATAGTATCTGGTCAGCCCGATTTTAGTGCAATTGAAATCTCTCAATCTCTCGATCCTTTCCTTAAAATCGTAAGTATAAAACCTGTACATGTAGTCGAATCCATACTCTTCACGTTACTGAGATTTCAATATGTGATATGCTTTATAACTTTCCATTTTCCATGAAATGTTCGGTGTTTACATATCCGACGGCCTCTCAATTCCAGAGTTCAGGGACTGAGTCCGAGGGAGCTCGAGTCCAACGCCCAAGGCGGCGGGGGAGCTCGCACCCTCTGACCCTGGGCTGGAGTTGGGCCTAGCCGGGCCTACAGTAGGCTATATCTGAGTATGTCAGTATGACTGTCATGTTTAATTTCGTCTTGTTGTCAGCAATGCCATGACACATGCCTATTAGAATAGGCCTAGACCTACACTAGTTATTACAAATTCATGATAATGATAATAATACCAGGCTCTAGCCTAGTATAGGCCTGGCAATGATGTCCATCACTTGACTTGTTTCACTGACACTGGTACCTAAATAAATAGAAATTAAAATGGCATCAGCAATGCCAATGTTCCCCAAAATGAATCACACTGACAGGCATGGACCAAAAGCTTCAGTCTCTCTATATCGCCGGTTGTTCACTGAGACTACGCCTGGCTCCACTAGACCTCCGATTATAGAATGTCAACAAATGTCAGTTTTAATATTATTTTTATTAAAGAAATGACCCATATCACTCAGACGGTTATTTCTGTCTATGACTAGACTAGATCTAGTATGAGTCGTGACAAGCAAAGCTTAGTTTTATTAAATTTAGATCTGGTTCTGATTGTCTTAATTAACTGGCTTAGTCTCCAGAGCAAGGATCACCCACAAAGTCACAAGCACAAGTAATAACATTTCTTTAATTTAAAAACATTGTTTAAACATTTGTTTAATTTTATCTTCACTCTAATAAAGATGGTAGAAATGCAGCTGATTCAGCATAATGAGCTGGTGTACCTGAAGGAGGAGCTGGAGCAATATATAGCAGCACAACCGGGCAGAGGCCTCTGAGTCTGAGATTGGGAAAACCCGCTGGATGATGAGCCTTTTGTTTTAGATTGAGGTAGGCTACTTTGAATTCAAATTCTGTATTGGGAAAGTTGCTGAAAACATGGCCAAACTACTTGATGAATATTGTTAACATAGCTATACAAAAAAAGGACTTCTGTTGTAAAATCCAACCCTAGACTAGTGTCGTTATTAAAATGCAGAAATATTTCAATTCATGTTGACCGCCTAAATTCACTGTTTGTTTGCCCCGCTTCGCTGGTCTGCCTACGACCGTGCAAGCCCCCAATGCAATACACATGTGCATTTACATAAATTTATTCAATTTCTAAGCATTTTCTGTCATATTCGATACATTGATAGATTAGTTATGATATTTATTCTTTTACATGGTACTGTAGGTGATGGGAGCATTAATGTTCATAATTTGTGTGTGGGGCATTTCCCAATACTGTTATTTGGCTTTAATACATGAGGAAATTATTCAGATTATATGTTGGAAACAGGTTTGTGATTTCTTGTTTTGTGTAAAACTACTTAACTACTTATTTTTCAAAAGGTGAAGCCGTGAAGGAGATTAGAAAAGGCATAGACAATTTTGTCTTTTACGTTAAATTGATTCACACCACATCTAGAAATCAGGATTTTTTTTTTTGTAAAGTGACAGTGACAGTTGGGGATGTAAAAATATAATAGCATAAACCAGCAAAAAAATGATTTATTTGAATGCTTGTTTTTTTAATTTTTTTAAAAAGGTAATTCGATCTAAAGGATGCACCGTGAGGAGGTGGCATGCCGTGTCATATTCATCTGTTTGCCGAATAGAGAGTAGTGAGTGAGGGATGTTTCCGAAGCTGTTGTCAGAAGAAAGGGACAAGTCATGAAGTTTCCTACAAGTTACAAGGCAATAGTGACTACTATTCAGAAGCAGTTTTTCCAGTACTGCAGATTTCCAGGAGTTGCTGTTGATGGGACACATGTTTACATCAGGAGCCCTGGTGGGGCAAGAGCCAGGTACTACTTCAATAGGAAGAACAGGTACTCCATCGATGTTCAGGTGAGAATAAATGAATACATCATGACTGGATCCAGCACGGCTTTCTCTTTAGACCTTTTTTTTTGTACCTTGCAAAATTTTCACATTAGATATATACACTCTCCAGTCTTGTGTGTTGTACATCCATGCTAATTCATTGGTGACCAATGCAAGATTTCTAGTGGCCAAATGGATATTAAAGTAATATTCGCGTACAGGTACTCATTTCACTGCCTTTGTACACAGTTAAGAATATCCAATGGATAGTTAAACTTAAAAATCCTAACACTCGTTAATATCTTTTTAACGAAAGGGAAATTTGAAAAATCAAAACTTGTTCCATCCTTCTATTGGCAATACGGATATGACCTCTAGATTTCTGATATTTTGTTGATGGCCATGGCAATTGGGCCACTGTTTTTGCCATTGATCAATGAAAGAAAAAACAACAAAGAGAAGCATGTAAATTGATCAATGGCAATTACCACTATATATTTTAAACTATAGAAAAACAAACAGGTTCATTTCCAATAAAAAGATGCGAGAGTGGGTACCCCCCCCCCCCCCCCCCCCACACACAAACAAAGCATTTGTTGTTTTAGGCTCGAAATGTTTTGTTAAAAGTGAGATTATTTTTGTTTACATTGTTACAAGATAAACAATGAAAACATGAGTTAAAAATGAAGAAATACTTCATCAGTCAATAAATATAGGGTAATTAGAATTTTCTTCCAATTTTTGTTGTATGAATAGATATTGAAAAGCAATTATCACATATTCAACTGCATTTGCATTAATTACCATAAATAACAAGTGAAATTTATACATTTCACGGCCTATCTGAAGTGTGAAATGAGTGAGTTTTCATAACTAATGAATGCCAACATGTTATTTCATATTGACAGGTTGTCTGTGATTATGCTGGGAAAATAACTAGTATCGTTGCAAGGTGGCCTGGACTGGTAGCAGCCACGATGCCAGGATCTTTTCTGAGTGTGCACTGAATTGACAGCTTGATGCTAGGGCATATGAATAACAGTTGATTCTTGGAGATAGACTATAGGGTAGGTACTGTAGATTATTTCTTTATATGAAAACATTTGTTTATTCTTTTTCTTAATCAATCTTGTTTCCTTTTTTGTATTTGGCCAACATGTGACATGTTAGGAATGTTCATTTGGTAATATAGTAACAACTCGCATTAAGTAATTAATTCAAACGAGCTCATGTGCTTTTAAATTTCAGTTCACAAATCACAATTAATGTTTTTGATATCTGGATGCAACTTGATTAGTTTGTTGTCAAGTGGAACCTCATAGTTTTTGTATTAGTGACACAGGATTGAATAATTCCTGATTATGTGTACAATACATTGTATCCTTTCTATAGTATTACCCCCCCCCCCCCCACCCCCCTCCAAGAAAAAAAATGAACAAGTCGAAATTAAAAATATTGTTTATGATATTGTTTATTTTGTTCATTCAATTTTGCAGGTATCCATGCCTTCTCTGCCTCATCAGAAGCCATTTCTTCATTCAGAGGGTCGACCACAGATGTGCTTTAAAGGCCATCTGTACTAGTTCAGCCAAAGAGGATTAGACAACCCAGCAAGGTCACTGACGGGAGGCTATCTCATCAATTCAGTTCTCAATTAACATAAGAAAAAGAGGATCATGGGGGATTAACAGGCACAGATTGGGGAAGTTTTCTATATAGAGGGAGCAAGTAGCTAAAAGTAGTACAGTGGGGCTTTAACACTTCACACACAAAAAAGGGAGATGTGTGATTGAGCGCATATTTATTAAATGCAAGGATGAGGACGTTCCATGCCTCATCAATACTAAGAGTATTTCAAAATACGGCCCCTCCTTGGTGTTCCCACAATACTTCGTAGTTATGCAGCATTACATCAAGAACCTGGGTGTTGAATATTTTTGATGTTATGTTTAGTTGATAAGTATTTGTTGTCACTCTGACGGTATTTGTAATTAAGTGTTCTCTATAGATTAAATGCACCCGATTTAACTATAATTAGCATTGTACTGCTGAGTTGAGGGGTGGGTCAATATAAATTATTTGGTTGGCAGCTAGGGGAGAGTATTCGAACAAATATTATTTACTGTACTAAGCGAAGTCAGAATTAAAGAACTTTTATGTGCAAATTTGAATTTTGTTGTATTTCTGATTTTCTTTCTGCTAATAGCGCTACAGTGAGACTTTTAATTGGCCTTCCAGAGCCTCTCTTAACCTCTAGTGGGCTATATTTCATATAAGCATGCTACAAAATTTACAAATGTGAACTGCATTGTTTGAACAAACGGTAGATTACTATTGTGTTGTATGCTCAATTATTTATGTAAAACATGAAAATACAAATACAATATTCTTGCTTTCATATATTTACAAAGATAACTGAAATAGATATGTGTCAGATTATCTCTCTCTTTCTCCCTTTTTTTTGGGGGGGGGGGGGTGCAGATGTGTGTGTTTGCAGTTTGCATGGTTTTGCATTATGTGTTTCATTGCAAAAAAGAAGAAGAAAAGAGAGAGAGAGAAAGTTGAATAGAGAGAGAGAGGGGACAAAGAAAAAAATTAATAGAGAGAGAAAGGGAGGGAGAGAGAGAGAGAGAGAGAGAGGAGAAAGAAAAAGAATTAATAGAGAGAGAAAAGGAGAGAGAGAGAACAAAAATGGGTATAGAAAGAGAGGAGGGACGGGGACAGAGAAAGAGACAGGGAGGGAGAGAGAGAAAGATGAATAGAGAAAGAGGGGAGAAAGAAAAAGAATTAATAGAGAAAGGGAGGGAGAGAGAACAAAAATGGGTAGAAAGAGAGAGGGACGGGGACAGAGAAAGAGACAGGGAGGGAGAGAGAAAGAAAAGATGGCCATAGAGGAATTTTAAAAAATTAATATTATATGGAAACAAATCATTTACCAGTTGCAATTTTGATGTGAAAAAAATAGCCAGTTGGGGAAACAAACGGGGAACTAGTTAAAATAATAATTGATTGACCATTCTAACAAAATAACTATATAGATGTATAGTAATTAACAATTGCAATCAAATGAATTAATATATTAATCACAATAAAAACTTAATTCATATTAAATCATTATTATTATTATTATTATTAGGTGATTTTATTGATAAGAATGTGTAACCCCCAAAACAATAAGACTCTTACAGTTAATTTAAAAGAGCCCTTGACAACCTTAGATGTATTTATCTAACGAAGGTTTTCAGGTGCCGATGTCAATTTGTTCTGGGTCAGATTGAGTGCTTCACCAGCACCACACAAATGTGAGTACGTGGGGCACTTTCTGCATCGGCGCGCCAGTTTGGTTCGATTAATTCATGAAAATACAATTCAAAAGTTTATTTCAGAGATGTTCTAACCATCATCTTTTCAAGATTGCTCATTAAGATGTCCGGATCGTACTAAGAATGCTTAGTTTAACAGTTTTTTCAATTCTTAACATTTAAACCCTAGCCCATAAAAATTATGTTAGAAACCCTATGGCTGAGACAAACCTTGGTCGGAGGTTTGGGAATTACAGACCAAGGTTTATACAAACCTTCCTTTGTGGAATGGGTTTGAAAATAAACCAGGTTTGAGCTCAGACCGAGGTTTGTACAAACCTTGGTCTGATCAAACCGGGTCTGTCCTCAGACCTCCGTTGTGAATTCGGGCCTTAGTTTTCTGGGATTGTGTCCTATTGTCATGCACACGATGAAGAGGGAAATAACCGTGTAGGATGTCACACCATTAATCCACAGGTAAATTAGTAGTATGGTAAGGAGGAGCATTCTGGGATTGTTCACAAGACCTGAAGATGAAGAGGGAAATAACCAGGTAAGTCGCTGACAAATAATTCCAAATGCCGTAGGTGAGGAATTTGGCCGAGAAGTCAAGTTCTTTTTTCTAGTTCGACCCACTAAAAAAAAATTCTTTTTCTTGGTAAACAATGTGTTATACAACACCTACGTGGATCCTTGTCATTTGATTGGAGGATTGTTGGTCACATGATATTCAATAGATGTTATATTGCACGGTCGTGCATTTTTGGTTATATGCGCCGTGCAATTTTGGTTATATGCAGCCTGCGTTCCTCTCAGCCGTGCGCGCGCGTATCCCTGCGTGTATCTGACGCGCAGGCAATCTGAATGTAATCGAGAAGGCTTGACTCCAACTTTAATTTATCTTTGATATAAGGAGTAAAGCATAATTTGTTGATAACGTTCTATCTTTAGATCTTCTTCGATGTTGTATAAAACAAATAATGAATGTTTTTCATTCATTCAATGGTGCGAATATTTTCATTCGTTGAAAGATTAACGTTGATTCTATTCAACTCGGCTGACGCCTCGTTGAATAGAATGTTAATCTTTCAACTCATGAAAATATTCGCACTATTGAACTCATAACCATTCATTATTTGTATACTAATCTTTAATGTCATCATAGAGTTTGTCTTGATTTTTAAAATGTCCACCTAATTCTATCTAATAAACATATATATATATATATATATATATATATATAGTTGGGCGGGACTGGTTATAATAGATTATGTCGTTATTGTATAGCGCAAATATTATTATGATATAACCTCTCATAGCCTTTACAAAGGACCTTGGATATTATTACGGCTACAGCTCCGTCAACAGTCAAGGAATAGTTCTCACCAGGTATACCCACTTGTGAAGTGCCATTTGGTCTACAACCAGTTCGTCCACTATCCACATGTTCTAACAACCAGTTCGTCCACTATCCACATGTTCTAACAACCAGTTCGTCCACTATCCACATGTTCTAACAACCAGTTCGTCCACTATCCACATGTTCTAACAACCAGTTCGTCCACTATCCACATGTTCTAACAATCATTTCGTCCACTATCCACATGTTCTAACAATCATTTCGTCCACTATCCACATGTTCTAACAATCATTTCGTCCACTATCCACATGTTCTAACAATCATTTCGTCTACATGACTATTGAGGCTAATCAAGCAAGTCACTGACCAATATTATTAAAAATACAACCCTAATGTTTTATACTGTTAAACACAGTATTGGTAAAACAAATAGATGGTTGATACTGAGAGGTAAATATAAGTATAATCCTCATGAATGAAAAGAGCCGTTAGCAGCGAGTGATGAAATTGATTACAGTTAAAAACAGGTGTTTCTTTTTAAAGCCTAGCTATCTGCACTACTTTGGCCTAGGAGATGATTTCACCCTGCATGGTCACTGACAGGTGGTTATCTCATGAAATCATCTCTCAATTAACATAAGAAAAAGGGATCATGGGGGACCAACGAGCACTGCTTAGGCATTGTTTGCTATATAGAGGGCGCAAGTACAGTGTAGCTACAGGTAGTGCATTCCCGCTTAAGGAAGGGAAAATAATTATTGCTTATTTCACTTATTCATCTTACTTTTTCCTACAGGCATTCACTTTGACTTGGGATGATCAGTTAAAGCATAAGAACACATGTTTGCCGAAGATTAAGACCCCTGGTCAGCTCAGGATGCTGGGATGCAATATGGCCAGTACTGCTCGTATTACACACATAAAGGTATGTGCTTCCTGGGGGTGTTTCATAAAGCTGTGCGTAAAGTTACGAATGACTTTGCAAATGATTTGAATATAAAGAGCCAAATGGGATGCCCGAAGTTTTACCCGACATTTTAACAAAGTGTGACTGTATTTCCCATAATCTCAATTAAATTGTAGCCCAAAATACACTTAACATTGAAATGTTTTGTTAATACTGATGAGGTCATGCGTAATCTTTATGAAACACCCCAGACTATATAACCTTAATATGACAAGTATCCCTTTCCTAAGTCTATATTTCCAAAGAATAATTGGTTGCACCCGAGTGACCTCATTACTTTGCAGGCACAACTCGTAACGGTCGCAATGAATACTATAGAGGTCTGAGCTAGGAGACAATACAGAGAGTACAGTCTATAGGACATATAGTGTAGCTACCCCTGACACAGACAGTGACTGACAGAGCTAGGCTGGGATTAAGACTTTACAGAAAAGTGTTTAAGTTGTCAAATTACAGTCTGTGCCTGGAAAGAATTAATATGCAGAAAACTGTGACATTTTATTTCGTCTATACTGATTTCACTCTGTTTTTAAAAAACATTACAAAATATTTGTTTTATACAAAAAAAATATACTTAAATTGAAAGGGATGTTGGGACTTATAAAGGTCGGCCTGTTGGAATTATTCCATATAAATACAAAACAGAAATACTCTCCACGAATAGGACATATTAAAGTAAGGAGAGACAGGGGGTGCAGGTGGCTCAACCCCCCCCCCCCCCCCCCCCCATCCATTTTCACAAGGCTCAGGGAGAACATGAATGCCAGAACCTTCGTGCATCCTCCAAAACCTACCATGGCCGCCCCGTCCCCCCCCCCCCCCATTATTTTTCTAGAACCGCTCCTGCTGAGTGCATACCAACTTTCTCTCGGCCATTCTTTCTCGTCCTCTCTTAAATAATAAATAAATAATAAATAAAAACGTTACTTATAAAGCGCTTACCACCGAAGTCTCTAAGCGCTCTTGACTGTCTGTTTCGTCGCTCAATAAGGGGGTTTAACCTATTCCTGTAGCTACCCCTGTCTCTTAAATCACCATTCTCAAACGTTTCGTTTTGTCGTGTCCTTCCACTTACAGGGTGAAACGATACGTGATGCATCCTCTGGCAAGTGTCTTGATCTGAACGCAGACCGAACCATGGCCATCTTTAATCACTGTAATGGTTCTAAGGCACAGCGGTGGAGGTTCTCACGGTACTTCGACAGGAAAGGCCGTGTCATTCCTTAAGGGCAATCCAATCTTTTATGAAAGCATATAAATGAGAGTAATTGATTGAAAAAAAGATTTATATTAATTATTGGATCATTAGCAAAAGACTTATGAAAGTTTGAAATATAAAATCACTACATCTGTGTGAATCTCAACTCAGCAATTTGCTCATTGTATTGTGGCATAGTCCCGGGCAACTCCCAAATTTCGAAAAAATATCATTAATTTTTGTTTTCCTCCTACCTAAGTGCCTACTCCATTGGAGAACTACTTAAACTGAATTATGGATAGCATATTGTTATAGTTCCTCTAAAACGAAAAAGACCTTCTCGAGTCATCAATTTCGATATGTTAGTCATTTTGTGTGTTAAACAAATGGGAAAGTTGCTCAGCATCAAGTCATGGTGACATTACCGATTCAGCTAATTTGCTGTTGGCATACGTAAAGTTATTATAATTCTTTTTGTGTTTTTTTGTTCGATTTCTTTCTAACTTCACCAGTCTACTTCTCTGATTTTTCTGCTTTCTCTTAAAGTAGTTAGCTGTTGAGGTTGACCTTTCCACCCTCATACGGCTCAGTGGCGTAGCTACGGGGGAGGGGGGCGGGGGCGGAGAAAAGGGCATATATTCCTCAATCACATGGCAAAATAGAAAGGAGAAAGGATGGACAAAGAAAGGATGTAAAAAGACTCCTACGACAATTGCTCAGCTCTTTTTCCAGGTTCAAGTTCATTTCTTTACTATTTAAAAAAAAAGGGCAAAACACAATAAAGTGTACATTTTTGGAAACAATGATGTTTTACATAGATGCACATTACTATATAGATAATCGACGGGTGAAGCCCTGGTCACTCAAGTCAGCAGGAAATGCGAAAAATACAATGACAATAAGTTTAAAATAGCATTTATATCACTAAGTACTTCTTTTACGTTCATTCATAGATGTTTCTAACTGTTTTCATTAGATAAAGACAAAATGCTGCAAGAAATAAAACTTTAGAAAGTAAGCTGATTAAATAACATTTACATTGTACATTCCTAAATTAAAAAAATTGTCATGTTTTTCCTTAAATTAAATTATATTTTTAGGTCTTGTCTTTATGTAGCCTGTCCCTCGCACTTCCATTTTGATATTAATTGCAGTAAAAATTGCAAGTTGGACATATAAGTTTATTTCTAGATCATTTAATTTTGGATAAAGAGCAATTAGTTGCAAAATAATATTTAAATCATATTTTAATGCGCACATAATTGCGTTCTATGTACATGGATTTTCTTTCTTCCTTTTATGATAGGAAAATGAATAGATAAGTAAAGTAAAGTAAAGTAACGCAGATAATGGTCATTCTATCATAGCAGTTTAAAAAAAAAGCATTTTAAAAAACTGTTTGCTATCATGATAAACGTAGCTATGTCTACATGTCGACATCTTTGTGATGTAACTTGATTGGGCTGTCAATATTTTTTTTTTAATGTGCAATATAAGTATGTCAGCAATGAAATATGTTTATTTCTCAACGAATATTTTTATAAATGTTATACACATTCCTTGCGAACGTGGATCTATAGCGGTTCAATCATTCCACAAATCAGATTAAAAAGTGAAGACATGAAATTGATTTTTACGACAAAAAGGCTGTTAAGTAAACAATACACGAGTTGATAGAACGTTAATGTATTAACATGGTTCCAGGTTGTTGTTTTTAATAGAAATGCGGCATATGCTTTTTAATTGATCTGATGAGTATTGGTTTATTTTCTGTTATTAGATTAAATATTACATTTTTATTTTCGTTTCATGGTTGATAGCTTTTGGTTACACCATAGCATTTGTGAAAAGGCTTTTGATACATTCTTTCTTTAAAAGAACCCTTCATCGGGTAGTTAGAGGGATGTAGAAAGAGTAAAAGAAAATTAAAGAAAATGGGAAAGAGATGACTATGGCATAAATTAGATTTTGTCTGCCTATTGGTGTCTCTTGAAGCTTACTGACTATTAATTTCCATTTTACCTTGTAAATATATTTAAAAATTGTTTAAACTATTTATATTGTCAATATATATGTCTTAATTTGTTATGCCTGTTTAAAGTGCAATTATGACTGACAGACTCCTTTTTTTTAACGAAACAATCAGTACTTTGTGAAATGTATGTTGAATTGTATAATACTGGTGTGACCCAGAGGGGGCGTTAATTTTGTGTAAAAGCTATACTGTCCGATAATCACTAACGCGAAATTCCTTCGAGCGCCATCTTAGGCCAGCTATAGAAGTATAGTCCTCGCAACTCACATCCGCTGCAGCTGAAAACGGAAAGAGGAAGGAAAGATAAGGTACATGCAGGGGCGTACGCAGGATTTTTTCAAGGGGGGGGGGGGGGGTTTAAAATCTGGCCCAAAATATTTTGCTCCCGAAAATTTGAAAATCGCGCCGGCCGAAAAGTCGCTCAGTGGGGGGGGGGGGGGGGGGGGGGGGGGGGGGGGGTAAGCGGACCCTTTTTAAATTTTTTTTTGGTCTTGAAATTTGAAAATTTGACATTTTTTTTTGTTGGGGGGGGGGGGGGGGGGTAAGGTCACTTTACGCGGACATTTTTTTTTTTTTGGTAGTCCAAAAAAAAATCGCAAAGACTCAGCCAACCGAAAAGTCGCTCAGTGGGGGGGGGGGGGGGGGGGGGGGGGGGGGGGGGGGGTAAGCGGACCCTTTTTTAATTTTTTTTGGTCTCGAAATTTGAAAATTTGACATTTTTTTCGTGGGGGGGGGGGGGGGGGTAAGGTCACTTTACGTTAGCCGTGGGCATAATTTTTTTTTTTTTTTTTAATATCAAAAAAACAAAAAAACAAAAACAAAAAACAAAGGGGGGGGGTTTCGTTTTTTAGGGGGGTTTACACACATAAAAATACCAAAGGGGGGGGTTAACCCCCAACCCACCCCCCCCCCCCCCCCCCCCCCCCCCCCCCCCCCCCCCCCCCCCCCACCCCCCCCCCCCCCCCCCCCCCCCCCCCCCCCCCCCCCCCCCCTGCGTACGTCCCTGGGTACATGGAACGTCTATACATCGTTAGTAGCACGGAAATAGAAAGGATGTAAGCGTATGCATCTCGTATATAAAGTATTCAAAGCTGTCATCCACTTCCATCCGCTTTCATCCGCTAGGCTTCCGATGAACATCCGTTTAACATCCCCGCTACATACTACCCACGTCCGTTATTTTCCGTTCTGTTTTCTCAAATTTTCGCAAATTTTGTCCATTTCTGAAGCGGATGAAAACGGATGGAGCCACCCCGGAAATTTTGCTCGTCATTTATGCATACGTTTTGTGTCCATCGGTCAGTGGGACCGGGCCATAGCTGCGATGTTGGTTCACGTATCGAGTCCTCTGTCTGGAGTGGAGAATAGGTTTTGTTATGTTGTTCCGATATGGTGCTGTGCGATAAAGAGTACGCTAGGGCAGGAAGCTCATCAGTTCAGCATCGCTTTAAAGAATATGACTTTACGTCCCTTTGGTTCTGTAGAATAATCTTTGAGAATTCAAGCTGATCAAGTTTTTATTTATTAAGAAAACATATTAAACTAGAGAAAAAGGGCCTGTTGAAGAAAAGCTTGCCAGAATACGATTTCTTGATACTGTTTAGTAGTATAAAATTACACTCTCAAATCCAGCTAAATCTTAGGATACTTATTATATGTTATTCAAAGCTGATATGACTATCTTTTCCAATTATCTAAACTTATTTGTAAAAACACTGACGGGCCCGTATTTACCAAAGTGTAAACCCGCCGCTGGGCCCAAGCACTGATGTTAAAAGACGGGTTTAGTTGTTGTTGTTGTTGTGATTTAGTTTATAGGCGTTGTCATTCAGAAGTAAATATTTACGCCTCTTCTCTTAGGATTTTTTTTCCTTTAGAAGTTAGTCTGCAATCTAAGTTTATATTTTCCTGAACGTGATCGTAGACCCAAGATTTGGTTCGCGTGAATTAGTAGAATACTTGGTTTAATATTTGAAACGCTACTTATTTTTCTTAATTCATCAACAAATTCTTGTTTTCATCTCCTTATCTCCACTTGTCTTCCACGGAATGAAGCCCATCGATGTTCATGGCGATTTAAAGTTGGATGATGATGGATTTTTTCAGAATATCGTCATATTGTTCAAGTGTCATAATAATGTACTGAATATTTATGTTGTGAAAGAGAAACTCTTTTCACAAATAGACGACTAATTTGAAATAAAAATACACCCATAGATCTGGAATAATCAGTATATTATTATTATAAGAAAGTGTATATCGTGAGATCTGATTTGTAATGTGTTCAATGAGAAAATGGAGATTTATTTGCTTATTGTTTTTTTAATATAACTACTAAGCAGAACTTTAAGAATTTATCTTTTCGAGTATAAAGTTGTTTCATAAATCTATGATCGTCGATTTTATTTGAAAATAAGCGCCTCTTCTTGTTATCATTATTTTGTAAACATAAGTAGGTAGATAACATATATATATATATATATATAAATAAATAAATGTAGAATTAGCTTTAATGATTACACTGATAACACACCTTGAGCTTGTTAAAGATTATTGTATCGTGTCAAAAGTACTGTCATCAACAAGATTAAAAGAACAAAATATCAAGAAAAAAATGATAAGATTTGCGTCTTCTCTCTTATTTCATTCTATAAAGAAATAGAAATGCAATTTTAGGGGAGTATAATTATGGATCAATCGTTTAGATCGGTAATACTCCAAAGAAATTTTGAATCCACTCTGAAAGGATTAATTTACCGATTACTTTGGAGTGTTTATTATTATTATAAGTCGGAGCGGATTCGACTGCAAAGAAAGTAATCTCTTATATCATTCCCCTAAATGGATTTCCACTCCTTTGCACTTAAAAGAATGGATTATTTTTCTTGCCTACCTACTTCAATCAGTGATCCTATACATTCTACTATGGCTACCTAATTAAAATGATATGATCGTGAGGTGCATGTATTGCAATATTGATGTAAGGTGTAGAATTCTTTAATTAACAAATAGCTTCGAAGAAATTGTTCTGGCGCCCTCTTTTGACCGTAGAACGAGAAACCGAAATGATCTTTTCCACATCCTTGTTCTTTAAAAACAATGGCTGAGAAAATAATAATGAAGATATGAATGAGATGCATGTAGACGGATAGGAGTCAAAAGAAAACTATTAATTTATGTCTCAGTTGTGTATACAATCCAAAAATCAAAATTTACATAGTAAAACAAAATTAAAGGAATAGTTGAGTTTTGTTGCAGAGGGCGCTAAGCAAAATAATTTGTGTGAGAAAATGAAAAACTGAGTGTAAAATTTGAAAGAAAAACAAATCGAAATGACAAATTTGGTTCAGAGACGGCTGAAATATGTACGTATCACAATTTCTAATATTTGTGGTGCCCCACAAATATTCGATAATTTGAGCCAGCCGTTGAAAAAAAACAAGATTTATTCCTGCCAATGCCGATGTTTGCGTTTTGTTGGCTTTTTCGTGTTGGTTATAATGCGCAAAACCAACCAATTAATTAACGGTCACTTTTTAAAGTGGAGCTGAATTGGTATGATCGTATTAGCTATTTTGGGGTCTTAAATTACCTTCTTAGCAATTTTAGGTCCTAAAAGAGCACTAGAAATGTCATAAATAAGAATAAGAGCAAAAACCCATGCACTTTGAAGGCATTGCGGTCTGAAACAAGAACTCAACTATCCCTTTAAGTTGATCAAAAGACTTATGAGGATGAATGCCATCTCAGAAAAATATGGTTATGTTTTATTTGATTTAGGCTGCACATTTCCGACTAATTCCTGAAATCCAGCGCATAACAGTGCATGGCTTATCATGGAATTATTGTTATAATTAGAGTTCCCTATTTTCTGCGTTCTCGACAATGAAGAGAGAGCCTGAGAGAGAGAGAGAGAGAGAGAGAGGGGA